AGCGAAGCAGAGCGAAGCAGAGCGAAGCAGAGCGAAGCAGAGCGAAGCAGCAGCAGCAGCAGCAGCAGCAGCAGCAAAGCGGGAAACCCATGGAGGAATCACATGGAGTGACCTTTGGCCTGCGCAGCCCTTGGTTTTCGTACAGTTTTGGGAGGGCTGCGCAAACGAAATTGAAAGGGCGGAGGCTTGTCATGGCCGAGGGCAAAGGAGAAGAGTGCCAACAGCGCCTATTTAACTGTGTTTCACGTTTCAAACCCTTGCCTGAGAAGTGGCTCGCGCAAACGCCACAAGCAGCGCAAAGTTGGAGCCAGCGGGATTGTCCCTGTCATTCTCCATGCCGTGAATTTTTTAGTGGTCTTGGGGGGGACGAATCCAAACATGAATAAATAAATACTGAAACATGAAAAGCGTAGACATTATTGCAAGGTGTGTTATTACTAAAAACCATACCAGAGCAAAGCAAAATTGCAGACAGTATTGGAGGTGGTAATATTCTTTAAACATGGAACAGCGTTGACATGCATATCCCTTTAAATTCCTTTTGGACTCCTTTGCCGTTGACTTCTCTTTAAACTCCCTTTGATTCCTTTTGATGTCAATTCCTTGTGAATCCTATTGATGTCCCTTTAATTTATTTAGTCAATTCCTCTCAAACGTGTTAAATATGTTCAACTTATTGCCATAAGCTATTCTACCAAGGGGGGCAGCCGCAGTAGAAATCAACAAACATCGAAAACAGTTGAAAACAACTAAAAACAACTCGTGTGTTTTGTGTGTTTTATTCCACTTGAATTTGTTGTTTGGTGTTGTTGATGATTTTTTTTGGGGGGGGAGGGGGTGGCATTGTTTCTGCTGCGTTCAGATGATGATCAAACGATGATCAGAGGGTCAAATAGTGATTTGCAAGCTGTTGATTGGCTGATTACACCGGAAGTACGCATTTCTGCAATGTATACCACTCCACCCCGCATGGCGCCCCCTTCTGTTTAATTTAGAGAGGGGGACGCTGTGATGGCCCGTGTTTCTCAGTGCTGTTGATGTTTTTGCGGGATTTGGCTTAAGCTTTATTGTGCTGAAGCTTGTTGGGAACACAATCTTGTCCACCAATCGCCATCGGAGCAAAGCATCCAATATGTTTGTGATCTCAATCGCCGATCTGCAAGTCTCAGAGTCTACCTCATCCATTGATCCCTACCAGTAGATGGCCTCATGTCCAGCACCGGTTGAACCCAATGCATTCCAAAATTGTAGGGAACCGATATTGTGCATAATGCAGCTTAAAACTATAAACAGTAAATTCATTTGTGCACGATAGCCAACCCATACTGGAAAGTTCAATCTTTGCCAGACTGTTCGAAGCGCCAATGTGTTGTGCAACGTATTGTGACTCGCTTTGTCCACAGGATTGTGATTTGGGGAAGTGGATGTGGCGCTTGCAAGGAAGAGTGGACCTTTGTGGTTTCTACAAAGAATTCTGTGCAATTCATATAGGTACACAGTATTCTCCATCTATAGAACTTTCATGTAGAAAGTATAGTTTATCCGCCTATGTTGCTTCAAAGGTGTTTTTTATCCAAACATATAGTGTGGTAAGTAGTGTGGTAATGTGTGGTAAATACTTGTCAGATATAGCGTCGGACTGAAAGATAGAATGCCTGAAAAAAATTACTTTTGGATTTTGGGGGTGGTAATTTTCGATAGTTTTCAAAATTAAAAAAAATTAGAACTTTTCACAGATTCCAGCAGACTTAGAATGCCTACAGAGAAAACTAGTAGAATCCCCGGCATTCTATCTTTCAGTCTTTCAGTCCGCTAGCTCTGAAAAGCACTGCTGTTGCCATATTTTCCCGCTTTTCCTGGCTGTTTGTGCTCGCCTCTGTCGTGCGTGAAAAGGCACACCTTTCCAAAACAATCGCTTTCATCCCCATGCCAAAAATAATCTTCAGTATAAGCCCAAATTCTCACGCTGTAAAAGGTCTTCTTCCAAGAAATGGTACTTCAATTGCAAGGAAAGGTGATATTAAATTCCTCTGGCGTGGTCTGTTACACTTGCCCGTGCCTTGCCAGAAGCATTCTCAGGGATCAACCACTGCCGCTGGAATTGTGAGGCATTCTATGCACCACCCCGACTCTGACCAAACATATATAGAACTACAAATGGATAAGAAACAATATATATATATATAAACATATATAAACATATATGAACTATGGATACGAACACTATGCAAACAACTCGCGGCTATCAATGACTTGTGCAACACTTTCCTTCCGGAAGCCTGAGAATGCAGCGCACAGCGGATTAAGATTCACCCCATTCTAAGTGATGAGCTTTAGTTTCCTCTCCCTGCTGACCTACCAAAAAGAATCCACTGTTCTTTTTCACAACGACTCCAACCATCACAATGCATATGTTTGGGGGGGAAGATGCAGCATGGCATTCCATACATATATAGATGGCCGAAACCAAGGGCGCAGGAATTCCTCATCCTCACAAGAAATGGGGCTGCGCGTGGCTGTGCTGCTAGGAAACATGTATACTATTGAATTCCTTTGGCGTGAGCTCTGCTTGTCCAAACCCTCGCCTGAGAAGCTCTCCCAAGGATCAGCCACTCGGAAAAAGAAGATAAACCATTCGCAAGGCATTCTAAGTGTTAGCCCTAATCTGAACAGATCATATACAATATACAATTACGTGTATATATAATATATACATGTGTGTATATGCAAACTCTAAAAGCCTGAGAGTGCAGTCATTTCATGCACAGCGGATTTCGCCCCTGATTTGCTTTGTTGCAAGAAGGCTCCTTCTTGGACATGGAAAACAAACAATATTCCCACAATTCCTGAAACTAATAACCACGTGCATGCTTTTTGGAAGGTGGAACATGGCATTCCCAATTTGTTAACCCTGAAGGAGCAGGAATTGCTGATTCTCGCAAGACATTGGAGTCATGCCGCAAGGATTGGAAGTATTGAATTCGTGACGCATGCCTCCTTCAAGCATGTGTTCTCAGACCAAGGAAGAAGTCCAATCCATCAGTGATTTTGCCTAAAGGCTCTCCAAGTTAATCTCAGCATCTTTCAAGCGTTCCAGTTGGCGAACCCTTGGCTGTGCAACGTGCAAACAAGCACACATAGAATGCCTACCCAGGAAGACACAAAGCAAGTCGGTCAACAAAGAGACACCTTTAAAATTGACAAGCTTCCAGATCTGTTCCCTTGGGAATCTATCGATGAACGCTGCCAACAACCCCTTCAACGTCTTGACAAGTGCTTCGATTTCAGACCTGCCAGTGGTCCCACCCCAGCTGAAACTGAGCCCTGTAGAGATTCCAGGGAAGAATCCCTGCCACTGATTGTGGGTGGCATGGCACCCAAGACATACGCCTGGAATGGATGTCGGCAGATCTGCCAAGCCTTTCCTGTGAAGTCTTTTGTACGACTCTCTGTTCATGAAGGATTTGACTTTCCTGTGAGCAGGAGCTCCCTTAAGCTCATCCTCATCCTCGGTCACCGCCAGGATATCCATGGGATCCAAATCCAAAGGATCATCACAGACTTGAGCATCATCACATGCCTGAAGTTCCTGCCTTAGCAGCTCCTCCTGTTCTTCTGCGGCTGCATTGGCTTCTGGATCAATCTGGTTTTCCTCAGCTTCCTCAGCCTCAAGGGCCACGATTTCAGCCTCCTCCAAATCAAAAGGCTGCGCACTCAAAAAAGCAGGGGCCTCTAAATCCACACAAGGCTCCCCCCCTGGCAGCAACAAGCTGTCGAGCTTCGCCATTTCCCGCGACAACCTGCAACTTGGATGTATCTGCATTTGGTAGCAAGGTCAGCAGGAAAAGGTCACTTCGGATTCTCTTAACCTCTGCCGGATCAGAAACATGTTGGAGCACGCACTTTTGACTTTTCCTGAAGATAAGCTTTTTTTCCTGGTTGTTTTCCATCCATGCTTGATACTTCTT